CTTTTTTATTATTTTTATTTTTCAAGTGTACTTGTGATAGAGGGACTTTTCTCCTGGCAGGATTTGATTTAAACACGCTAAGACCAAAACTGTCTTCCTCTCTTCTAACCTAATCGCTTTTCTCCCCCTCCCCTTCTTTTTTTCTTTCTTTATTTCTATGTGAGCGCTTCTGGGAAAGGAGATTGGGTAGAGGGAAAGGCTTTTCAAATGGTGGGGGGAAAATGTAAGAGAATTCAGAGGGTCCGGGCTTTCTTTGTGTGGTGCTGAAGCCGCGGAGCTGCTTTGTGCTTTGGAAGGAGAAAATGGCGAGTCCTATTGTGTTTAGGCCATTTTCTTCCGGTACAAGGGTTTTCCCCCAAATCCTAAATACTTCAGGGCTCTTTTGAAAGAAGTCTCCCAGCTTATGAAGTGTGAATGGCTACAGCTCTGCCTTTTCCCCAGCCAGGGCTACCTCACGTTTGAGAGAGCCCACACATTTCTCCTCACAGGGCTAGTACGCAATTTCTAAAGCTGCTGTCTTCAGATCCTCTTGCGTTGGAGAGACAATTTCAGCTGCTCTTACCCAGTGATATTCCGTTCGAAGGGAGGGGGGACAGGTTATGGGAGGAGGGGGGACAGGAGAAATAATAATCCGAGACGTGTAACCTATAGCTGTTTTAAAATGTCAAGAAGGAGAAACAGTATCCACCTGAGGGGAAAAATCTTCTGAGAAAAGACTCGCAAACCGTTGAGAGGCATTCTGAGTTTCCTCCTAAATTATTTAAACTTTATGTATATACATATGTGCGTGTGTGTGTGCACGCCCGCGTGCTCGTGTGTGTATATATGTATCCGCATAGTAATAAATTACTGTAATCTGGGAAATAATCTGTATATACGTATCGTGGGATTTTGCAGCATAAATAAGGATTGTGTGCAAACTATTCCTGCTATAGCATGTAATGAAAAAATAGCTTGCAATGTTGTCAGTTCTTTTCAGGTCAGTGGGCAGGTAGGTACTGCTTACTGAAAACTGCCTCTGAATTTCCACGTTAATCTGTTTAAGGAAACAACTGAGAGTTCCAAGTTTTAAAATTATCGTCTGATATTAATCGCTTTTCATTACAATGTGCAATTGCTCGGGCGTCAGTGATTAAAACTACTTTAAAACAGGAGAGCTACCGAATAAAACCCAAGAAAGGTAAATTCCCCCCTACCTCCTTCCAATGTGCCGAATTTAAAAATATTGCTACTACTAATAAAGCAAAGGCGATTTTAGAAGTACCCTGGAGCAACCTGCGGTTTCCTTCGCCCTTTGACAGTAATTCCCAGCGCAGGATCGAGTTTGTGCGAAACACCCAGCGCTTCACAGCCGCGAAACAGCACCGCTCGGCCGCCCTCCTGCAGATCAGAACCATGGACAGAGAACGGATATTAAGCTAAGGTGAGAAAAGATACTCACCCCGGCAAAAAATTAAGTAAATCGGACTGAAGGCACCCGCAGAATAATGGGAAACTTAGCCGGTCTGCCTTTCTTATTTTCCGTTTTGTGTGACTGCTCAAGTTTCCAAACAAAAGACTTGAGAAACGACATTTAGAATTCTCCTACATGAGAGCAACCTCTATTAAAATGTCATGCTAGTATTTTCTCTTCTTACTGCCCGTAAAAGAAGTAAAAAGATTTCTCCAGTCTGCATACGATTGCTTTTTTTCCCTTCTTCTACGAGCCAAAAATAAATCTACTGCTCGAATCAGCTGAATGACGGTGGTGTAAATTAAATTGATTTTATCAGTGATCAAGTTCCACAACTGGAAAAATTAAATGCCACTTTGACAGACAAGGATAATATGGAACAGATCTATAAAACGGCTCCTTTGAACAACAACAACAGCAACAACATCAACCCAACAGGAGCCTAGGTACTGGTGATCCCTTCTTCCTCATCCCACTCCGTTGTGTCACATCATTTAGTTTGCCTTTCTGCGGTACCGAAATGATTGAAATCGTTGTTTGATGCAGAGGGACTAGTGATGATGAGTCATGGACTTTATGCCACAGTAAAGGCAACAGACATTGCTCTAAGGCAAATTTCTTTTTTATTTTGATCACGCTTCTTTTGGACTCCCCTTTCAGATGCACTTTACCGTCTTTCCAGCCCACTCCACAGCTCCAAAACCGCTCTCAGCAAACACAGAGCCGAGCTCCGAGAACCACAAGCAGCTCCGCGTCCATCTAAGAATCGTACAAACACACCCTCGAAGCCCTTTAGCCATAAAAACCCTACTTCTGCGCTTCTTGCCGGCCCCCGC